GAGATGGAAGTAACGCCCGTCTAGAAGTCGCCTTGCTTCGCTGCCCTTCGTCACGTAGACAACCATCGAGCCGTAGGCCTTGCTTGTATCCTTCCTGCTGAGCCAGGCAATCTTCGCAATGTTGACGTCGTTCTCTGTCCCTAGCGCCTCTGCGGCTCCCGGCAGGATGTTTCCGTCCGCATCGAGGACCGCTGTTCGGTTGGCATTGTCTACCCTCACCGGGTACAACTGGTCTCTCAATACCCGCACTCCAGGAACACTGATCTTCACTGCCGCTTCCTTGACGAGCTGGACCTCGCCTTCGTCCCTGCAAATTACTCTGACTCGGTCCGGGTTTCGGGCCTCCTTCACAACCGCAGCGCAACGCCAGTCTCCCATGCTTTCCCGTGCCCTGGCCTCTGTCTCGATTGCCTTTCTAATGTCCGCCACCTGGACGTTTCCCTTCTCTTTCTCCTCCACCCTAGATGTATCGATCGTACAGAACAACGTGTCGGTAAAGGATGAAGGCGTCGTGTTTCGCGAGGAGAGGGTGCGCACACCGCTTGGCTGGCTTGATGGTGGGGTGCGAGCGACTTCGGCGTATGACCCTCTTGCGCTTGGTTGGGACGAAAGCCATGGCTACCGGAGTGGCGTTGAAGGGTATCAATCTGATCCCGCGCTTGTCTCAGTTCTTCAGAAAGCTGGGTCCTGGTGTCTGCAAGTTGGCCGATGTAGTTCTTGAATCGCGTCGTGCTGCTTGCAAATCACCTCACGTAGTTCGCCAATCGTGTTTCGCTGCTCGGTAATCATTCGGTACATTTCGTCTCGTTTGTTCGTTGATCGCCTCCAGGAGCATCTGTATACCTGACTTCCCCGTCTCGATCCGGCTGTTGGCTCCATATAGAATCCCAGACGCGCGTGCTCCTCGCGTCGTAACCGCCCGCGTGGTCTCGCTCGCCGCTCTCCTCGACGTGGTAGCCACGTCCTCGAGCGATTGCATGGCTTCGCGAGCTTTCGCGCTCGGTTTCAACGCGCGGCTCGGTCGTCTCGGCGAAGGTGGTTGGTCGGCCACCTCGACCACGATTTGGGGCTGCGCCTCCGCCACCATCTTGCAGTCCCTCGGCAGTGCCGCCCGACTTTCACAAAAGGTTCCTGGTCTCGATCGCCTCTCGCCGATCTTCTCGGACGACTTTCTAGCTCGGATTGCTGGCTATTATCATTATAGAGTTACGCAGGTTACTTACCCTAACCCTAGCCCCGCCCCTCACTTCTATTACCGTATTACGGCGATAAGTGGATATAGAATCCAATTGCGAAAGGTAGCTTTAACTATGTTCTTGAAGTAACAGCGCGATAAAGAGATTTAATACATTGTTTTTAAAGGAGTTGAGCGATGCGACAGCTTAATGAATTGATGGCTGCGAGCGAGAAGAAGTTGAAGAAGTAGAGGGGTTAGGGTTGTGTATGGTGAAGTTACATGGTACGGTTTGGTGATGCCAAACCCGACGTCCGAAATGCCCCTCTCTTCTCTTTTTGTGCCGCGATGTCTCAGCTGCAGCCATTTTCGCAGCGTGCTGGTCACCCTCCAAAGTGAGTTGCCGCCGCACGGTGTGGGCCCCAACTACCCCTGGCACTGGTCCGTGCGGACAATCTTTCAACATTGAAAATCTGGACACTGAATTCGGCCTCTACTGTAAGTAAGGAATACAGTTCAAGCCTTCGACGACAGTAACTAGTATAATTAATAAAGAAGGTATAGTGGGGACCGAAATCAGTGTCCAGATTTTTAATGTTGAGACTTTCTCCGCACGGATCACTTCCACCTTTGGCTGCGGCTGACACCGTGTGTCGGGTACCAACTCCGTACAGCTACAAGTGAGCTCCAAAACTAGCTTTAGCCGACCCCACTAATTACACGGTCTGTCCCACTAATTACACGGTGTCCGTTTAGGATTAGTGCCGCGCAGGGGTCAGATTGTCATTCCCACCCAAATTTTGCAGCGCAGTACATCGGCAAACATGTGTATAAAACCGAACAAGGTAACTATCTGACATCTCAATCCATCAAACTGGGCGCAATTCGCTCAAATCCGTGATAATATCAAGCTCTGTCGTAACCCCCCCCCTGTTGCTGCAATCGCTGCCACTCCTCTGCGGTCCAGCCCTGCGGTGGCGCCTCCTAAGCGACCTCCTAAGCCGCTTGCTGTGGAATCTGTGGGTAGCTCTCGTATGATGGCGCCATAGAAAACTGCGAGCGCGAACCATACGGGAGCTGCGTGGACATTCCTCTGGCGAACTGTGACGGGGGAGGCATCTGGTGAGATGGATCAACACACACGGGGGGCACAGGGATCAACACATTAGATAGCAGTATATAGTCACTCGTTCTGGAGAGCTCTGAGAGTTTTCCAGTAAGCAATACACACTTGTGTTTGGAACACACTTGAGACACTTGAACGAATAACTAGTTGTTGTGAACTCTTTGGCTTCCATTTTCGATCAAACTGATGAAAAGGTTTGTATCACGGTCAGGATCACCGTGGTAGGGGCAAGCTGGTATATTGCGTGGTTGCACGAGGAACCGAATGTGGGAGGCGAGGCGCACTCAGGGAAAACCCTGTGGCTGCGCACAGACCAGCGCAGAGCTACGTACAGCCCACCTCGGGGTTCAGCCGTGCAACCCTAACCCTACAAGGAACGGGCTGTGCCCGTGACAGTTTGCCGATGTACTGCGCTGCAAAATTTGGGTGGGAATGACATTCTGACCCCTGCGCGGCACTAATCCTAAACGGACACCGTGTAATTAGTGGGACAGACCGTGTAATTAGTGGGACAGACCGTGTAATTAGTGGGGTCGTTCGCTGCTGAAAACGCACTAGCCGGTTTCGGCGCCGCCATTCACCCACTGGAAACGAGACTGAGGCCGGCAGAGACGCCAGCCAATTAACTCAGCAAAGAGTGACGACCGGATAACTGCATATTTAGGCGGCACTCAGACCGTAATGAATCCGGAGCTACCCCCACTTCGGCCACTGCGGGCCAAAAAGACAGCGTAACGGATGCTCTTCACCAAGCACTCGCCGCCGAGCCTGGGCACAGTCCTTCATTAATGCTTAAGCATTTGGATGTCGGCCTTGCATTTTCCAAGTAAGCGAGGTTGTTTATATACTCGTGAGCGTGTCCGGGTGGTCGTCCCGAGCTTGGTCTTACTCATCTACACCACCCGCACTTGCAGCTGCTCGGCCTCTCCCACCGGCCCCGGTCCGAAATAACATAAGCAAAGACTAGCACTAACTAACTACTCTTATCAAATTTCATAAACTTCGACGAATGTACCAGGGGGGCTACCGCCCCCCTGGACCCCCTGTTTTTTTGCCTGCGGCGCTCCCAACATCACCCCCAACCCCCACCCGCCCGTGTCGAGCCACAGAGCCACAACGCCAAGTACGCCAGTTCTGTGGCATCCAATATCTCCTCGAGAAACTCTGGAGGATTAGCCCAGTAAATGAAACGAAGCGTTCCTTCTTCGCTTCCTCAATGTACATTGTACATCTCAGAGACTCATCAATTGAAGCGAAGCTTCAATTAATGTGTTGGGGGCGCCGGTATTCCTGTTTGTTTGTCTACGACGTTGTCAAAGTACTACCTTTTGCCACTCCTCGCAGCCAGCCTCACCATCTAGTGGACCGGAGGCGGAGGACCGCGAGGGCCAATGTCGACCTCAGATGCCTCTATTTCCTTCTTCATCCAGCCACCTCAGCGCCTGGTCACTTCTCAAAGCCGACCTAAAGGCAATTGAAGAGTACGACAAGATATACGCCGAAGTGGTGAAATGGCTTATGGAATTCCTTGCAATACAGCATGCGATGACCAGGGCGCTCAGATGCAGGAAACTTTCATGGGTTAACGGTGGATTTCCTGACCTCGCAGCACCCCGACGGCAGCCGAGGGCCAAGACGGCAGCAGTTGTGTGGTTTTCGTCGGGCGAGGACCAGAAGGACAGCAGTTGTGGGGATCTCGCCGAGTCGACCCGAGGTAGGCTTGATGTCCAGGGTAATAGCCAGTGTCCAGGGTAATAGCCAGTGTCCAGGGTAATAGCCAGAGTGGCAGCGATTGTGAGACCGGTCTGGCAAGATCGCTGAGGGGGTTATAGCGTAGGAGGTCCTCCACGATCGGCCAGCTGCTCTCTAATGTGAAGACCGGGACGTAAGCGAGTTTCCGGGTAGCCTCGTTGGTCTAACCACACGCCCCCTTCCTGGATCTCGATGTGCTTGCTTTACCAACTCATCTCGATCTCATTATGATAGGGCTGACACTAGCACTCAGTGAGGGAAAAGAACGTTCACAGGTTAATTCCCGAGGTAACTTTTCTGGAATTGGGAACCAGTCGAACATCTCTGTTTGTTGACAGCTTTCGTATAAAGTGCCACGCGCATTGTGATCCCCCATTCCGATACCACGCCCCTAAATAAGTCAACACCTCCCTCCTCCACCCCCCCTCTCATCCATCCCCATAACCCCCTCAAAACCCCGGAAACTCAAACCTCACCTCCTCCGCATGATACCCCCCCGGCGGCACCCCCACATTAGTCAACTCCCCCAAAAAGCTCGTATGCAGCCCGTACAAATCAGGGTCTGCGCAGAGGGCGTCCTCCTGGGCGAGCACGTCCTCGAGGTCCTGGCCGACGTCGAAGTACTTGCCGCGCAGGGCGCGCTTGCCCAGTCCCGTGGCCAGCGCCACACACACCATACCGTTGAGGTAGGGCGAGTCGTTGTAGATGTCGAGCGTGTTGGCGAAGAAGGCGTGCGCTTGCGGGGGGAGGGTGGCGACGGATTCTTGGGCGTATTCTGGGGGAGGGGGTGGAGGGTTAGCGGGTTGGTTTTGTATGTTGTTGCTGGGTTGTGTTGGGCGTGTGGGAGAATTAAGGGGTGAGATGGAGTCCATACTCTTCAGCGTCATGGCGCTCTTGATGCCGCCTGGGGTGCAGCGAGTACAAGTGCACGTCGTCGAGGCCTTCGACGTCCATCTCGCGCTGCGTGCACGGCCGTTAGGTTGATCAGGGGCGGCTTTGCTAGCGCAGTAACTCGTGCTGTACGGGATGGGCGACAGTGCCGGCGCGCGAGGCGATGTTGAGCACGCAACCGCTGCGCTGCTCGCGGAAGTGCGGCAGCAGCAGACGCATCAGGTAGTATGGCCCGTGGAAGTTGACGGCGATGTCGTGGATGAAGTCGCGGGGGTCTTGCGCGTACAGCTGGGTTTGTTAGCGTGGGGTGGCGAGGGCGTAGATGACTGGGAGACTTACTGGTCCTAGCCCGTTGGCGCCGGCGTTGTTGACGAGGATGTCGACCTTTCCGTGGAGTTCAAGTGCCTAGCAATGATCATCAGCCCACCTCCCAACAACCCCGTCTCCACCTAACCGTTTCCAGTCCCTAGGCTATAACCCAATAACCACCCAGAAAACAACCAACTTACCTTCCCCACCAACCCCTGACACCCCTCCAACACCGAGACATCGCACTTCACAAACTCGACCGCCGCCGCCCCAAACCGGACACACCTCTCCCGCAGCTCGGTGGGCGGCGGCGTGCGGGTTGTATGTCAACACCAGCGCGGCGCCGGCCACGGCAAACGACTCGGCGAGGGCTTGGCCTATGGCACGGCGCGCTGTTTTGTGGGGAGAGGGGGTGTTAAGGGGATTGGTTGTGATGTAAGGGGCAAGATTGGTGTGGGGGAACCGATTAAGCGGGGAGGGCACGAATATGGGGAATGGTATGTAAAAGGGGGGGGGGGGGCCTGGAAGTCCGTGAGGTGATGTTTCTACATACCCGTAATGATGGCAACCTTGCCTTGCAGTGAGCCCCTGAATTTGGATGGGTAGATGTAGGGATAAACGTCGGTGCGGAAGCGCGGGGTGTAACGATCGATGGCGTGCGGGCGGGCTGGTCTTGTTTCTCGGCCATCTTTGCGGTTTGTTGTCACTGTTTGGTTGTTACTTGATGAACCCTGAAAAGGAGTTGGTTGAGCCGGTGAAATACCTCGGTTGACATTTTTGAGCTAACTCTCGGCAGTCAGTTTTATACGCGAGTGTGGCATTGAACGCGAAGCTAACAGCGGGGGATGAAGTCCGAACCGGCCAAAGTTGTATCTGAGCCGCTGGAAACTAACCGGGTTCTGCACTTCCTTGGTCATTTGTCAGCCGTTTCTAATAACGCTGGATGCTAACATCTTTTGTCCACGCTCGTGCTTTACCTCTGCATGTGCTTAGGTGGTATGTAAAACACAAGAATATCATCACAAATAACGACTTAGGGAGGGGTGAGAGTGGTGTCAGGAGATGCTACATGCACTTGTTGACAATCTGTAACACAACTAGCAGCACTGGAAAAAGTGTTCGTGATTAAGTGGTTAGGGACATGCAGTCCATTATGTAGCTCAGCCCCGGTTTGCTTGTTAGCGTGATACTCAGGGGCTCCGGTTCGAAGATCGATAACTCTGACCTCAACACCATGATCACAGTCAAGAATCGAAAGGACAAATAATAGACAGGAACATTATTAGGGACAATTCCAACGATGACGTTGCTCGCACTAGAAAGGGATGGTGTTGGCGTTCAGTCCGAAACTATTCCAGCAAGAACCCGAGTCTCCAAAACAGGGGCTAGCAAACACACCAGAGGACTCGTATGCCCGCCGCGCATGCACCGCATTGCGTAAACCCTGTGATGTATTACTACTACGTAGTATTGTATGAAAGCAACTACCCCAAATGCTTTAACCAAACCATGCCTTATGCCTATATGCCCTAATGTCCTATGCCTAATGACTCATGGCCTCACCCAAAGAGAATGCCCCGTCTGCCCACCCGTTTCGAAAAGCCGCCCCTCTCACTTCGACACCAACCCTCTCTAACAAACCCAGGAGAGAGCCAGATTGGACCCCGGACAACCCGCCATGACACCACCCCCTGTAACCCTCCTATAGCCATACCACCACCCTGAAACTCTTTCACCCTGTCCCAAACAAAAAACACAAAA